TTCTAATTGTATTTATTAAAGTGTAGGATTAACGAGAAAATTTCGAGGAAGAGTTCCGCTTTAATATAATATACTAAAGTGGGCACATGTTACTCAATAATGCGCTTAGTACACTGAGAACGGATTAATTTAATATAATACTCACATGAAGTGTTTACGTCTTTTTACAAGAAAAAAAAATAATACATCCCAAAGATACAAATAAAGCATTATAATAGTATATTTTAAGCCCTACGAAGCAAACAAGAAGAGATGTTGCTGTACAAAAATTAAATAACATTATAGTTTACCTTTCTCATATTTTTGTTTTACTGTGGGCTTTTATTCGTTATATCAGCATTGTTGGTGTTTTAAGCCGAATCGATACGGATTTTGACTGTTTCATTGAATAAAAATATGTAAAAATATCTATCGTGGTCCGTGCAATCATACGGTTGTTAAAGCTACTTGACACTAGATGGCGCTAGCTGTAGTATCGTGTAAACAACTAACTCCCTATCGAAAGTTTACTAATTTCATGACTCGATCTACATTCTCTATTTTTATTATAAGACGTTACGTAGTTTAGCATTTCCCGACGTTGCGCCGGTGTCCCTCGACTTGATTAATAGCCCACGATCGGTCACGTACACATCATTTATACCACTTCGAAGTAAATGAGAGCTTAAAAGATTATCTATCTGTGCGCGTTTCTTGTTTTATGACATAATTTCATTTAATGTCAGTGATACTATTTCATTTGAATCGAGCCCCGAATGCTTACGTGGCTTTTACGGCGCGGCTGTGTGATAACAGTGACAGCTGCTGACAGAAATTAGGTACTAATGAGGCAATACCAAAAAAAAAGAAGATAAATAAATGGTTACAAGGTTGATTCAAATTATCTATCAACGTTATTGCTTACACGTGAAATATGTATAGTGGAATGTTTGAGAAACACACTGCGTGACATAAATTACCGATATATTTGACAGTTGACGCTTACTGTTGGCGGGAAAACGTGATGCGTTCATAGAATAGTCTTCTTTTTTCTTTTTCTTTTAATATATCAAATGATTTGCGGAGCATTCGGCGGCTGTAAGTAAAGAGTATTTTGAATTAATTTTGCATCGTTCACCTGTTCTGTAATAAAAATCGAACGATGAAAGATATTTTTTTTAAATATCTGAGTTATGTTTAAGAAAAAATAAAAAGAACATGTGTATGATTTTAAAACAAACATGTAATGAATGGTTTTGGGTTCCAACAACATAAGTTTTATTTTAATACATTTTAAACACTTTCAAAGTGGATATTGTAGTGTTAAAGAAATTGTAATAATTGCGTAAATACGTTCACATACCGTTGTAATGAATTGAAATTAATAGCAAAGAATAAAAAGAGAAAGTTAAAGTCGATTTTGAATTAATTTCATCATATTTAAAAAAAAACACTCAGAAATTACCAAAATATTCAAAATGTAGATACATAAAAGAAATTGCATCAGTTATGTAGACAAAATCTTCTTTTATACTTTCTTAATCAATATTTATGCGGATAAATGTAATTTAATTCTATCATGGGTTTACCTACAATTGCATGTTATTTGAAAAAAAAAAAAGCTTACAATCCTCAACCAATTATTTTTGATGTATAATACGATAGAGTTTGCGAATTATCACATTCCTATTCTAAATAAATAGACGTTATGAGGAAAACTACCGATTACTATTCACCTAGTGCAAATATTGTTTATAACTGACCCTAGATAATCGTTTCCCAGAACCTGCGTCATTCGTTAATGAGGTACTAAATTCCCCGAAGAGCATATGCGTGGCATCATGACAAAGATCGTCATTTTTGGTTTTTTAACGCCACCACATGTAACGGTAAGCGTATTTAATCTACACCCTAACTGATGGTTCATAAAGTTGATATTCACTCTTAACGCAAGAGTTGAAGACGACGCACCAATTATATTTGAGCCCTTCGGACATTTAAAATAGTACTTATTGCCCTTGTTTTAAGGCAATCACCGAGTTCATGTTCGGATGGTTTTTGACGCTTTCAGATGCCGCTCTTACCTGCGTAGGTGTGGGCCATGTGGGTCTTAAAAGGATATTGTTACAAACATAATAATGGCCACTGACATATTGAGTTATCGTCGGTCGATTGAACACCGGCTTTATCACTTCATGTTAAAGTCGGTTTCGTTTTGATTTTGTTTCGGTGAACACGTTATAGGTAAATAGGTGTGGGCGATACATGTGTTTCGAGTTAGGCAGGTAAGAGTTTTTTGTTAAGATATGGGATGGGTTGGACGATCGTGTGTGTTTGTTCAAACAATACACTTTTACTGTAATATTTGAGTGAAAAGGAAATAATTTTTAATATGTACATAACCGGATAGCAAAATTTACTTTTATTTATGAATAATGTGTTTAAAGTAGCGTATAATAAAATGGGCTGAGGAAAATCAGAGATTCAGGGTTTAGATGATTTAATTTGTGAATGTTTAAAATAAATTTGTTAACTTAAATATTGTGACAACTTATATAAAGTGATAGCATTAAATGAACGTCAATATATCTAAGTACATATATTATATCACAATGTTCTTGCACGAATGATCTATACATTGTTATGTTACAATTTAAATTTCATGTATAAAACAAGTGCTCTGCTCGTAAAAATAAGTAATCATACGAGTTGTGGCTCACAAAAGTTGTACGTAATCAGGTATCCAACGGCCTCCGACCCATATGAATACCGATACGAAGCAAACTGGGTCAGATAGCCGTCGACACTGCGACCTTTCCACTTCCTCGTAACATTGCTAGATATATTACATCTGCGGGCCTTTATTGAGGTAAAATACAGATTAAAAATACAGATAACTAAAGCGGCCGCACCATGTTTAAAAATTGTTTTCATTTTTGTAGGACCGGACGCGAATGAGTTTACATGTGACATTGTAGACAAGATGGTGGACATCAAGTGTCTCACATGATTTCTGATTGAGGTTAGCAACTAATTTGGCGACATTTCAGTAAATAGTGTATCTTCTATAACACCAAAATATTTATGAATAAAGTATATGATGACTGGTTGGTTAGACATAAACTAACTATTTGTAGTCTGGACAGAGCTCTTACCCTACTAAAAATGATTTTAGTTTTGATAATAAACATTTTCATTAATCTCGTAACTTATGATTTTTAGTTCCTAATAAACTCAACGAAAAAATTATATATTCACCATATATCAATTGGAACCGTTTTATAAAATTACTTTTATTAACATTTTTAGTTTTATTACAATGTTAGTATACCATAAATGGAAACAATAATTATTAAAGGTATTGGTTACAAACTTTATCATTCACTTACGTCATTTAATAATCATCTGTTCTAGTTATTTTATTATATGAGCTATTCAAAGCTCTGTCAATGACCTGATTTATCCACTACCATTCTTCAATGTTGGGATGAAAATATCCCCATTATGAGAGGCAGTAACGATGATAACTTCGAGATAATAATAAAGGTGCTTTATCAGTGTATAGCCTTATCTGGGGTCGGGTGGCCACTAAAATTTGTCGCTTAGTGCGTCGATAAGGATCTGTCAAAGGAGTTCAGATAACGTGTGTAACACTAAAATACATCAGTATTTTTTCTGATTTACCCTGTGAAATAACGATAATACATACAATGGTAATATTTTATATATTTCATGAAATCATTCAATTAAGTTTACGCGTGAGGAAATACAATTAAAGTTTTAACGTTATCTTGTTTTTTTTGTATATGTTTGTAAAGAGAAAAACAACATTATTATTTTATTTTATTTTATATTAAAAATGTTTATGTTTCCGGATTATTATTTGTCTTCAAAGTGAGTTTGTCACCTAATATCTCCGCTTACCTTACTAGTTTGGCTACCATTAATAACCCCATAGTCCAGTGCATGCTATTATTCTGTTTAAATATTTATTATTCGTATTTAGTAATAAAGCAATGATGCATTATAATTATTTCGTTTTATTTTCAAATTATTTAAATTGTCAAATCCGCTTCGCTGTTCATTACAACTTACAATTACTTTATAATTACATATGTCATTGACTCGTCGGGCGGCCATGTTGAATTTTGTGGCTTTATATGGTTTCGGCCAATCGTAGATGCATTAAGTGACATGGGCTTCTCGTGGGAAGGGTTCTATTACCCTATAATTGTTTTATAGTCATTTGATGTACACTTCTTTTAGGCTGCGTATATACTTATTGATCTAATTTGTCAATCTATGAGAAAATTTTAACATTAATTTTTAGGTTTAATGATTTCTCATTCCTAAGAAATCATTATACAAAATGAAGTAATTCTGTCATATTCCTAAATGAACTAAAGATAAGATAAGATAAGATAATCATTTATTGCCTTAACTGTGTACAATAGGTGTTACATATTACATTATTTAAAATAAAATCATCAAGCCTTCAGGATCTTTATACCCGAGTGGAACAGCTATATTCATCGTTTTATTCACGTAACATCAGGTTTATCAAGCCAGTAACCCTAAGCTAGAAGTATATCATTTAACCCACTGCCTTGACTCCACGCAATTGTTCCCTAACGAAGACGAAGTAGACAGGTATAAGATCAACAGCTGTTGTTAATCGCTAGAAGAATAATTGTATGTGTATTTTTTTGTGTATTACAACGTATAAGCGTTCCCGCACCGCAAAGCCTTATCAAATTTGAATTAAGTTTCGAATTAAAATGGCTTTTATATGCGATTACTGAATACGGCGCTTTGCATTCGGTAATTGGACTAATTAACGCAAAGTCGGCGATAAAAGCTGGTCACCATCAAACCACCAGTGGTATTAAACTACCAGCCTAGCCTCTCCTAAGCAGGCACAGCTTGAAGACCCAACTGGCTCCAGCACTCTGCAGATCGGCTCAGTCGTCTGTTAAACCGACTATCGGTGATCACAAAACGGTCAGTGAGTGCGCAGCCTTATGCCCCTGGGCGAACACCTAGGGCCTCCCACACGGGCGCGCATGTGTGCAGCCGTGACGTCAGCCGACAACCTGTCGCCCGCGCCGTGTAATTAAACCCGTCCGAGGGCGCTAGTGTTGTTCTTAGGCACAATTCATCGATAGATCTAATGGATGCCGTAAATCGTGAACGCATGTCGATATGCGAAATTCGAAAAGCCCTACGTAGTGCTGAATTTGTGACTTCGTGCGAGTTTATTGATTTTTTTTTAAATTCATGTTTTTTTTTCTTTTAAATATTTACGTTAACTATTCACATTTAATTTTTATAAAATTAAAAAAAATTATGTATGAAAATATCGTAGATGTTGACTTCTTGATTTTATGCGATTACTATACATATTAAATGAAACTAGTTTACGTATTTTATCGCATTTTTATTGTGACCATCCTTGAATAAACAAAATATACCTTTAATTTTATTATTTACAAGTAATAATTAACATTTACAACTTTAAAAACTGTATATGATAAAATCTTTATAGCTCTGCGGTACAATCACGCCGCATCCATTGCTGCAATAATTCGATCGATGAAGACTGCCAGACTAGACTAAGCAACCAGCGTAAACAATCCATGGGTGGAGGTAATCACTTAATCCAATCAAGTGATTCCTTTGGCATGTTCTCTGCAAAAAAACGAATCACTTTGTGGAGGCGTTAAGATTTTATCGACATCGACAAGCCCCATCCTTAGGGCCGACCCCCGCGGCACCTCGTTTTATTAAGGCGCGTTTTTTGTGCGGGCACACGTGCTGGCCATACCTCGCCCGCGTCTTGTCGAACACGTTATTGTTCGCTTATTGCACGCCACAGATAACTGACGCTATACGAGGCGTCAAACCAACTAGCGTTCTCACACTGGCCTTGCTAGTACTGAAGGCAACAGCTGAAGGCACTGCCTGGTCCTACCACAGTAGGGTCCTCAAGTTCAAGAGTATGTCCTATCCTGTTCAGTACTACAGCAAGGAAATTTCTAGAGCGTTTACCATCGACGGCTGCATTGCTTATCACTATCATGTGAGATAATGCACAAGACCTTGGTAGTTCCGGTTAATAACCCATCACGTAACCCTTGGGTATAAATTGACATGTCTAATATTGCTGTTCTCATAGTTATTTAAGAGGTCAAAATCTGCCACTAGTTCACAAATATACACCTATATAGTAATTTAGTTTTTCGTACTGATATAATACATGGTTAAATTATACTATTTTATGCAATTATCGCGTTTTAATTTGATTTTTAAATTACAGACGTTCCGTACCATTTCCAAGCGTTCATGGTAACGGACAGTCTGTAAAGTACTTTCGTGAAATAATTTAATTTAACCAAATGAAGACCTGTTCTAAAAATAAACTGCACTATTAATATATGTTACATTCGAATTAGCACTGACTTTATTAAATCGATACAGTCTTAAAACGCATCAATTCATCATAATGTAAAAACCGCAACCATTGAAAAGGCGGTTGAGAAGCGTATCTTAAAAAACGCGGGCTCATAGCCATCGCTTTTCCGAATAGGTATCGACGAGCCTCCGGTCCGGGGAAGTTGCGGCCATAAACGGATCGGCCAAGTTTTCCAATCTCGCCCGCGCCACGTCGTCATATTATACTCAGGCGATTTTATTGCACGCTGCAATCTTACACCGCGGGCGGGGGATAGAATTACGCGAGCGAAGTCGCGCGACATTGTTAGTTTTCAAGTCGTGAAACTGTATTTAGGGCCCGGGAAAGTTGGGCGCTTGTTAATAATGCATGGGTTTGGCGTTCTGCGGTCGCTAGTTGGGGACCGGGTTCAGCTCTTTTATGGTTTCTGAACTTTGACGCGTGTTTGGCTTAAACATTGCCGGTTAAACTGTTGCCTTATGATAGACATAGCATTCGCTAAATGCATTTTACATTGAGATAGAATGCATAACTCCAAATTTCGTTATTCCTATGGTTTTCCAAATACTATTTTAATAAATATGAGTAAAAATGATCAAAAACACCAATTTTGGATTCATTTTTAAGAATATGACGTGTACGGAGGAATGGGAGATTTGCCACAGTTAGCCATTACATTTAGAAAAAGTGCCGAAAGCTAAACTTTATGTACAACAAGTGTTACAAATGATAAAATTAAATTGAATAAAACATATATTGTTAACGATCATTATATCAATTTCAAACACGTAAAAATCTGTTTTCGAACACACACATGCACATATAAAAAATTTGCAGTCATCAAAGGCTTTTAAGATGTCAGATTGACTGAATAAGTCTGAGATAACAAGTTACTCATTAGATTTTAATGTAAACATGACTAAAAAGTCTCAACTTTCCATTTACTATTTTAATTACACTCCGCGAGCATCGTGTACTATCAACTCATACATTGCGCGTTGCGAGAGGCAGTACCCTTTTTCGAATAGATGCCCATGCAAAATGCCACCGTACACGCTTTCTGGTTTCTCTTCGCATTGTATTCGCCCGCCGCATCGGGGGCTTTCAAGCTGGGTAGCACCGTTCCTTGTCAGGGACCGGGAGAGCGGGGCTCAAACCACACAACGGCCCCAGCCCGCCGGGACGCGATCTGCAAGAAACCGGAAAATTAGACATAGCTCGCCCCGCGGATGCCTTTTAATAAGCCCGCCGCGTCGCGTGCACTGCGATACTCACAGATATAAAAAAAAATGCATCACGTAAATATTTCGCTAATTTATCACGGGCATATCCAGTTCTGTTGGCTATACGGGCTCCGGATTTTCAGACCCTCGTGGCGGTGCTATTTGGACTGCGTAGGGGAGCATTGGATAATTGCTGGCACTACGCGTTGTGAGGAGGGCTGTGTTAATTATCTTGTAACTAAATGGATAGTGTAGTGTTCCAGTGACGTTTTTAAAGTTAGATATGTTTACTCCATCTTGGTTATCTATCAATCTTTTCTAATTTAGTTTAAAAAACTTGCTCACGATTTCATTAAATGTTTGACAGGCCAATTCATTATGAAATCAACTAAGCCGCCATAAAGTAATTTTGCAAGGGATTAGTAGCAACGTACTATGGCGCCGAAAACCTTAAATTTTAAAGAATTAATCTATATATTTTTTGTCTGCTCTTAATTACGAGTGACCTGTCCGATGAAGCGAGAGGAAGATCATATGGAAAGCACTAAAGTCAATATGTTCCAGCCAGCTCAGATGTTAGACATTTCTTTTATTTCTCGCCCTTATATATTTTCTTAAATTAAATGGATGAAGAAGATCACTGGATTTAGTTCACCGCATAAAGCGGATACGACAGAATTGAACTAAGCGAAACAATTGAAGTTGAACAACATTTTTCCATGCACTTTATGTGCAGCATTCGAGCAGAATTAGTAGAGTTCTTCGAATAACAAGTACTTGCGGTGGTAGGGCCACGCAGCAGTCTTGGCTGTTGCACGATTGGCAGGCCTGTCCGGGTAAGTACCACGACCTCTCAGAAGACCGGCGTAAAGTGGAAGTATGACAAATACTTTTGCGTTTCGTCTGGTGAGTGAGGTAGCCTGAGCCCAATTTTCAAAAGGTTGTCAATGCATCTGTGATCCTCGGGTGTAGCCGATGTCCATGGGCGGCGGTATTCACTTAACATCAGGTGAACCGTCTGCTCGTTTGGCAACTTTTCACATAAAAAAAAACTTATATACGTAATATGTGTCTCAGTAACTTCGCAACATAAACATCTAAACTTGAAATGTATAGATAAAACTGTCGATAGACTTTATTCTGTTGCTTTGATTCGTCTCTTCCGTGCGAAAACCTGAACTTCTTATCTAATTTGTTTTTATTGAATTTTTAGCAACCCTTGTTGTCGTCTAACGTTTTTTACATCAAACACACTTACTCAAATGCCTTTTTACAATGAATATTTTAAACGAAAGATGTTGCCATTGCTATTGAGATATATGATATATGCCTCGATGAATCCCGCTAATAGGCAGAGACTGACAGTGGGTAGGAGACTTCACATTTCAATTTTTTTTTCTTTATACATATATCTACATAGTAACAATTCAGTAAATGGGTAAAACTGATTTTATTACGATACGCTAGCATATGCTCATTTCTAAAAAATATACACCGACGGTATCCGCTCAACTTTGTGCTACTGAATTCCATATTCAGTTTGTTCTGGACAGAAAAAAAAAGCGGTCACCGTCGGAGTTTTTCCACGAAGTTGAAATGAATTCACGCACGCGGCGCGCTTCTATAAAAAAAAATGTCGCAATTGTTGGAAACTGATCTGATTTTCGGAAGGTGTTTTAATGCGAAACTTGTATCCTTCTCAACGCTTGGATCGGCTTATTTCGATGTTACTGTGTATATATATCGGTACATTTTTTAAGTGGTTTTGCGCTGACGACCCGTTTAAAGTTTGAGTCTCGGTTACGTCATACACGTGTGTTACTTCCAATATACGTAACTCTTCTATTGAGTCGCCAAAGTTCCCAAGATAAAACCTTTAACTGGGGAGAATAGCTCATCACACTATTTTTAGAATCCTGACAGACTTTTCTAGGGAGAAGGTTAATCTGTCAAGGGTTTTTTATGGAGAAAAGGGGCAAACGAGCAGGAGAATCAACTGATGGTAAGTGATCACCGACGCCAATTAGCACCTGCAACAACTGAGGGCTCACGAATACGTTGCCAGCCTTTTAGGATTGATTTAAGACAATGGCTAAAATCTTCTTAAGTGGAGAGACTGGAACCAAAAATTGGAAATTGAAAAAAAAAAAAAAACACTTCTTTTCCAACCTTGAAATTGGGATTCAAGCGCGCTATCTGAAAACACACGTTTCGTAGCAATCAGTGGGTGAAGCCCTTGGATGAACCATGGGTGAACCAATACAGCCGCAAGTTTGTGGAACGTCAGCGTCAAAGTTTGAATCATTCACGCCAACAAGGAACGAATTCATCGCGAAAATGATGAAAACCCGGCCAAGTGCGAGTCACAAAGAGTTTCGTACCATTCTCTATAAAGACGTTAAAAAAAATTCATGTCTGTTGTATGCGAGCCCCACTGAAATATTTTTTTTTCTGTTTTTTAGGATTTGTTGTTATAACAGCAACAGAAATACATCATCTGTGAAAATTTCATCTGTCTAACTATCACGGTAGATACAACTTGGCGACAGACGGACGGACAGACAGACAGCGAAGTTAAGCTTAGTAATAGGGTCCCGTTTGACCTTTTGCATACGGAACCCTAAAAACTGCCCTTTTCAACTTTATTCGTAATTTCTCAACACGAACCTTTGATAAATATTGTACTGTATTGGGTAGCCGTCTTTGCTGTTGCATGAATGGGCAGGCGTGTCCGGGGATGTACCAAATCCTCAGAAGACCATCGTGAAGTGAAAGTATTATAATTATAAGTATTATGTAAGTGAAAGTATATGTTCTTCTGCCTTTCGAGGTTACAGGGCCCATTTTTTAAAAGGTGACGACATCTGCAACTCCAAGAGCGAACATGCGTGGTGCTTATCACTTAATAGTTGAAATGTCAGGCCGGTTGCCAACTCTGCAAATAATAAAAATAGTTTTAAAATTACTCCCTTGTTAATTAACTACCAAAACAACTTTAGGGTGAGATACATGTCGTATTGAGCGTACGTTACTATCATTGACTCCTAGGCGCAGTTGCCAAGTGCTGCGGCGTCGGAGGTCGTGGGTTCGATCCCCACACGGGACAACTATTTGCGTGACCCACAGATAGTAGATTCGCATCTGGGTGTTTGGCCGCGTGAAATTTTTGTTTTTAAAACGTCCTCACAACACAGGATAATGTTATCCTACGGTAAGGGCAATGTTTAAAAAAATAATAAAAATAATTATTGGGATCGTGTCAAAGAGCAAGAGTTCCCGGAGCGTGACGTGCTCGTCGTAAGTAAAAGCTCCGCTCGCTACATAGAGCTATGTACGCCACGCGCCCCACCTCACCCGCCCTGACCCAATTCGCCGGCTAAATTAACCGGAGAGTCTTCGCCGCTAACGGACCGCAGCGCTATCAAAGCGGCTAATTGTGCAGCTGGAAGGCACCGTGACGGTGGGCCGGAGGTCGGGCGACCACTCGCCGGAACGTGTGAATTAGTTATGAATGTGCACGACTACTAATGGTCAAAGGACACCCTTAAAGTGATCCGTAAGCGATGTGTGGGCTTATCGCTTTGATCGCGCACGGCGACAGGCTCAATACATATCGCTTAATTAGCTACATTGGTCCGGCCTGTTAAAATAAAAGGACCAAGCTTTCAGATGCTGATCTGACGATTTGCTGTAGCTCGGCGGTTGTGATACTTGGCTCATGTGTCGACTAATTTGTATCTAATACCTTTCAGTCATATGCAATATGAAGATTTTTAAGTCATAATATATTATACTTTAGATGGTCTGCTTTAAATTAGAATTCAGAAACCAATAGGAGAAATTCATGCTCAAATCATCAATAAGAACATTAAAACATGTAGAAAAAGTACGAAAACATTGTCGCCGCTGTGGGAATCGAACCCACGTCTTCAGCTTTCGCGGCCTGACACGCCACTGAGCTAAACGGCTGATAGCCACAGCAACGAAAATCCTAACGCCTTCCTTCTACATTGTTATTTAGCATTTGAAGCAATGCTTGGCGCATCTATTATTATATCCTTTCCAGCATACAAACAATTTCGAATATCGTTTTATAACCCAAGAATAAAATCTTTAATAAATGATGGTTAATTCACGATTAAGTATTGTAAGCCACCAGCATTAGTCTATGAGAAAAATATATCTGATAGGTACTTGGATTTAATATTAAAATCATTGTAACGGTTTCCAAAACCGAGACTAAAATACTCCGCACGGTACATGTTTCTCTACAGTTTGATGTGCAATAAATCAACACCCACTAAACACGAATATTAAAGTAAATAACTTATTACATAACGGTGCAGAGGTGCTCAATTTCCCCGCACACAATTTATCTCGGCGAGGCTGAGAAGAATACACGAGCATCCAGAATCCACTGGAGCGACACCTACGTAGCGTGTTTAGGTGAAACTGTCACGTATAAGCCTACACGTCCTATTTTTATCTGTAATGGAGCTACCGTCCGAGTGTTTGTGCGACACTTACGAATAGTTTCTCATTCAATTAATAAGCGGTAGCGGATGGCTCAGTTGTTAGATAGATTAATATCACGATTGAATTAACTGAACTAGCTTTCTGTTTGTTTAGGGTTACTTCTTCCTCCAAGTAAATAATCTGCACATTTGATGTCTGTTTCTATGATAATTCTGAGGGAGGTATATTTCTGAATAAGTAAATTCATACTGCCAAATCCCATTAATATCATAAGCACTTACAAAAACACAAAATTTAATAATTTAACACGAATACATAATAAATATTATATAATATATAATTCATCTATTAAAGCATCACAAAATGCAAATTAAGCTCTAATTTAGTGGTAAAAATTTTGTGTCATGTTAAAATTTAATTTATTTTTAATGTATTATGTTACGCAGTTGATCAAATGAAGTAAGAGCAATTTTAAAATAATTCACGCAACGAATCGCTTCCGCTTCTAAAATACGCCGCCGCGCGACAGCGACGGTGTGACGTGCGGCGTCGCGACGGCGAACACGCGGCATTTGCATAAAACAATCCACTAAGTGTTGCCGAGGTGGTAAACAACGATACAATTTTAGCATATGTCGCGTATCTCATACCGACGTCTGCTTACTTTGAGATGATTAAAAGTACAATGTTTCCGCGACGAACAATAAGTAATTGCATTTAATGACCAATGTTGTCAAAAGAACTTTCCACGTGTAACATCACACAAAGAAACATAGACTATAAGAATTTATTGCGTACAATTTCGATTTATATTCCCCAAGATTTCGTTCAATTTAATAAAGTAAACCATGCAAACTTTAGACTAATACTATAAATACAATCATATGACGACATTGTGAAGATCAGTACTTATTGTTCGTGGAGGTGTCACATGACGATTACTGACGCCTTAAAGAACATAACATTTCAAGATTCATCATGCCAAGAAAAATAGAATTTTAATCAACTAAAATAAAAATAATTCATACAAAATACCCTAATACTTACGGTAAGAGAATTTTTTGTAACGCAACTACGTTAAATTAAGATCTGTTCAGATCCGTTAAAAAAAGATCATGATAACGATACGGTTCGAAATAATCTCTTTGACATCCCACGATACGATGTGCAGTGGCATCCCGCATGCTGCGGTGGCATGCTAACAATGTCGTCACTGCTCGCGGGCTTCGTTATTTTCTGATTGCGAGACATTCTGCCATCTTGTTTCCATTCAGGGTGACAACAATCGCGTCCCAGCCGGCGAGCTGGGCGCAGCGCGAGTTTTTCTCCTCGCTACGCCTCGCTCGTTATAAGTTGGTACGCTCCACCGTCGGCCAGTGATGTGCCGCCACAAATCTTCTATTAAGGTCTTCTTTTGTTGAGTCTCGACTGGAGAGCGTTGAGAAAACAAAGGTAAAGAATACTAAGAATGAAAGTTAATGGTCCTAAGAATGTGTTCGTTTCAGGAACATTATTATGATGGAAATTTCCCTCTTACAATATATCCTTTTGCTGTAAAGACGAATTATGATACATGTCTTAAGTGATAACAGACGCCCATGACACATTTGCAACACCTGTGAGGTTGCAGATGTTTTGCTACCTTTTAATAAAGTGGGTCCCGGCTACCTCACTCATTAGAGCTAATGCAGAAGTATAATACTTCTACTTCACGGCGGTCTTCTGTGAGGTCGTGAATTTCCCCCAACGGACCTGCCCATTCGTGCAACAGACGAGGCTGCTGCGGGGCCCTACCACTGTTCGCACAAAACTTTACGCATAACGAATCTGTAACAATTAACCGAGGATCATACAAATACTTGTCTCATGCGAGAATCAAATCCACGATGTCGATGATAACGCACCACAAACATAATAACCAATAACAATATTACTTTTATATACAAATATTACTGACATAATAAACAATAAGGTTATAATAATAAAAACGCAGTTATTTGTTTGACTCTCAAAAATAATACACAAAGCTCATGACGATGAATACAATCAGACCCTTTCGATGTTTTTTTTTTTCTTTGACTTCAATTGCTCGTTATTTTATTTGAGACTGAGTCGCGCTGTTTGATCTCGAGTCTCCATCGCAACATCCCTACGACGAGTGAGCTAGCGACGTTGTTAACTTTATTCGTTTTGTTTACCTTTGTACCTTCTTCCACGCCGCGCAGTCGGGAAAAAACTAAGTTACATAGTTTTTAGTTTTAAATTGCGCAACGCTCGAGTTTCTATGTAAATCGGAACAAACACCGCATGTCGATTAATGTCTCATATTTATCTTAACTCTATATTAATTGTTTTAATAATAAAGGGTGATATTAAACTCTCAGCTTAAATAAAACGTCGATCAATTATTAAATCATCACTTGCTAAGCCCCTGATCACACAATCGAATATTAAGGTAAACTTATTGGGAATAAAACTTCTAAAAAATAACATTATCCTTAGAGATACACCTTTATTACGAAAAATGTGTGGTATTTAATTATATGTTTAATTTTAAAGTGTTAATTCAGTTTTATTTTTAATAATTAAAAAAAAAGTTTGAAATGTTAAATTATTCGTACCAATTAATTTTCTGTGATGCTCGGTTTTTATTAAAGTACCTTTGGAGAGTAACAGTTTTCGTTAACGATTGTTTTCATCGTTAAACCGACGGACGAATTGAAATACAAAACTTTTTTACGCAATCGATCCTTGGTCCATTAGACGGTTACTTATTACTGTGCCGAGTACATATGTATGCTCTATATACAATGCGCTACTATGAAACAAAGCCTCTACGGCGTAGCCAGTAATATCTACCTTCAGCGCTTAAAGCGACCAACACCTAGGGTCGTATATAAGCGAGGGGGTCGCAGTCTGATTACAGTAGGTGTTGGGTGGGGGGTGGTGGGGGGGTGCCAGGTCGAGGCAACTCCGAAGACAAACTGTGCAGAGGTTGGGTTGGGCTGTGGGCGGTGGAAAAAATGGCTGCCGTGACGTCTACGCTCAGGTTCGGTTAGATTGCAAATGATTAGTTCTTATACACTGGAGATGGGGCACGCTCGGGTGGAATATTTATTACGTACCCTTCGAGGGTACACATTTACATTTCAACAAAATTACGGTACAATGTCTTTCTTTTTAAATTAAATATAAGTAGGTATTCATTGATTCTCGGGACGTCAACGCAACAGTAGTACTAAAATAGACGTATTCAAACATAACAAAGCACGAAATAAATCCTTTTGTATAATGTATAGTAATAGATATTTTTCAATATAAAGCGATACATATTACAATTAACACCAACATTTAATATCTGAGAGTACTCCAAATCGATGACTACCGTTATATACAACGCAATTCAACATTACGACTATACTAAAAATACTAATACGAATTACATATTACAAACGTATGTATTTACAAACAGCACCATCCGTCGGGACGTTCAATGTATTACATAAGGTGAGCGCTGACCCACTTCCGGGTCGGCAAATACCTGGGCGGTGACAGGTGTAGGCGGCACCAGCCAACCGCCGCTGTCACCTGGCGCGCGCGGCAGGTGCGCCCAGGTGCCCCTTCGCGCGGCCCGCCCTTTTATCGAGCTGCGCAGGTGTGCTGCGCGCTGATTGGCCGAAGGTGGGCCAGGTGGCGTCAGGTACGATAACGCCAGTTGTCGCTAAACCACGCCGCCGCACGGCCTTCGGCGAGGCGTGCAGCGGGCAGCGCGGGGGGGGGGGGGGGGGGGTCGAGTGTAATTGTGCGCATGTGTTGGTGCGATTGATGTTTTCTTGAGGTGGGCTAAATTTAGCCGAGAGGTGCCCGCCTCGCCCCCCAACGAGGCCCTACCGGCCCGATCCCTGGAAAATTTTCGCTTTGTTACTTCAACCTTATACATAGACGCAGTAATATCTGTTTCGTTGACTCGGCGTGGATCAAAATCATTTATTCATCTACGTAAGAAACATTAATTTCATATTCTTTCGATAGTCATTTTTTTATCTACCACCGTTTCAGTTCGTTACAGACGAAAGAAACTCCGTAGGTATCCTCTTTTGTGAGACTAATAAACTAACATAAGCATGTACAACGTTTCAGAATTGACGGCCATATTCCGAAAATAGTCATTTATCTACTGTTTCTATTAAAGTCGTAACACATGTTATATGTACATTATATCGTTTGGTGTTATCAGCCTAATTCTGAAAATGGTAATGTTTCTACTCTCTGTATTGAAATCGTAACATGTGTTATGATATCTTATTATATTATGAGAAACCTTTATGCTCTATTTATTTATACAAGTGTAATGTATATTTTCAGATGTAGTATAATTTAAGCAAACTGAGGAGCTTAGAGCGAAACGTTCATACAACGGCGCCTTGTGCTGCACTATTCTATCAAAGTTGGTTTCATCATTAGAGTGGTTTACCCACCCCCCGCCCCACCACCCGCCACCTCGCTCCATTCCTTTGAGAGCAGGCTCATTACCTAGCTAGGTGGATAGCGCCGTTCATAGTACTCAAGTAATTAGGTGTCGTTCTGGCATTAGGTAGGCTTAAAGAAGCCTCCTTTAGTTTTTTTATGGGTTATAACAGATTGTGTTAAATAATGGGAAATCTATAGAAGACGTATACTCACATGCAAAAAGCGATTGATTAAATTTAGTTTGATTTCTGACTCGTTTAGAGTTTAATAAACTATAAAACTGTCTTTTCTCCCCATCCTATCAGAGTTAGAAGACGAGCGCTTCTTATGTGAGAGAGATGGAAGCTTCCCTGATCTTGGTATTTATCTAAGTACTTTCATCGTCTCACGCAGTACCGTAATGACGTTTGTAAATGTCATAGAAGTTAGTCCATTTGATTTTTAAAAGCAAACTAATCGTTCCATCATTATTATTTTATTTCAGCGAGAGAATTCGTGTACCTTTTTTTTTTTTTTTTTTAACGATGGGAAATGCATCATGCATACTCTCCTTAGGGGAAGCAAGGAGAGGGTTGGACTACTGAGAAGGGCAGACCTACCAACTAAAACCCACCTCTGCCGTCAAATGCTGGATTGCAGGGCCCGCTTAAGCGATTCTGCTGCAACCCAGCCACGGCTACCCCGACCCTGCACAGGGCTGGGGCACACCACGAAGGGACTTTTGTCCCCGTTCTCCGCATGAGTGCCCATGAAGAATTCGTGTACCTGGGGGTACATGAATTAACCTTACTGTCATGTAAGAGTTTACGTTGTTTCAACTTAGTGTATTAAAATTTTAAACAGAAAAATTTTACTAATCAATTTTCTATCATGAATTTTCAAATCAAGAGGGTCGTTATATCCAAAAACAAGTATAATACTGAAATTATGAGACAATATACCCACTGTATACTTACTATATTTGTACTATATACTGTTGTATCTCATAGATTTCCTGGCCTGAAATGTGCATTTTCGTGTATTCCAGATGATTTTATGCAAACATGATGTCAATCTTCTGTTCCTTTTCGATAGTGAAAGAGAAACCAATAAACTGGATAGACAGCTGAATTAATACTCTTAGTAGAATGCATACATATAAAATAAATAAAATAGCTTCTAGTGATAAAGCCCCTTCTGTATTGGTTATTGCATTGAGTGGTAGGATCGTGATATGCTACTTTGTAGAGCGAGCGAGTAGAATTCACGGTCCCAATAAAGGATCGATTCCCAACAAAATTGCGGGATGCACCGCGCGGAACGGGATTGTGGACGTAAAAGTGGCAACTCAATAACAAACGTAGTTGCACCTCTTTGCAACCGACTTATTTACTGGCAGCCGCTCGTAAAGCGCGGCTTTGGTGTGGCCACGGTGATAGGAGGAGCGTTTCTTAGGAAGAAATAAAACAAGAAGTGAAAATAGCATTTAGCACGAAGCCTGTAAAAGGATCGAAAAGTCGGGAATTTAAATTAAAATGAACGGGATAAATTCGTAAACATAGTCTTATTTAATAGGTGCATATTTAGTGTAATTTGATAGACTGATAAATAAATAAAGGACATAAAAAAAGAATTCTAACGACAAGACCGTAATTCATGTTTTCAACATGTCAGTCGCACATTACAGATTAACCCCTGTGGAAAGTCGAAGAGAGCTAAGAGATCAAATGTTTCCATTTAAAATAGTTTGCCATGTAATTAAATTATCGTATCTACTTTCAACTATTTTTTATATGTAAGAAGAGATGAAGAGAGCAAGCGAGCTAGCGGTTCACCTGATATTGCGTGATAACCGCCACCCATGTAGGTTACACCTGTAGGTTTACAAATGCGTTGCCATCCTTCAATAAATTTGGTCCCTCACTGACCAGACGAAACGAAGACATCATTTCCACTTTACACCGGCCTTCTGCGAGGTCGTGGTACTTCGCGGTACTACTGACCTGCCCATTAGTGCAACGGCGCAGACTGCTGCGTGGCCCATCACGGTAAATTTTTAAAATTAAAGAATTCCTTTGCCTATCGTTCTATATATGTAAGCGGAATTAATGATTTACTCTACAAATAATTGTATTCAAACAATGCATTATGATTTTCCATAATTTGTTGCTTACATACATCGCTATCGCTTCCGCTGCTATGCGCACTAAAGTAGCCGCTTCAAATAAGTCTTACTCATTTTTCACCGTGAGTGTCTTTCAATTGGTGATAACATCCGCTCTCGCTAGCTTAAAGTTTTTCTTAAAGTAAATATTGAATCTACAGATGAATTTCAGGATATAATAAATGAAGACCGCTGGGGCCAATGTATGACATACAATTCAATACTTGTTTTCTTAAATTATGATTACCTATTGACGCAAGCGCTATGATATTTTTGGTGACCATTAAAATTGATAGAGGAAGCAAATTAACGGTTTGGAAACTTTCCAGCGCGCGGACACCTTCTTTAAAGAGTGTTCAGCCGCTACTCACCTCTTAAAGCCAGCCCAGCTCTTGTCCACACACTTCTTAAGTATGTGTATCCATCATTAGATATCCGAAATTCTTCGTGAAATGAAAACTTCGGTCAAACGCGACGTCGATGACAAAGCGTTTATCGGACGTGAGGGGCACTAGAGGTCGAATCCTTTATACAGGTGGTGTTTGGCCGGCGCGGTGGCGGCGCCGCGCCAGCCCCCATGTTTGCGGGTCACCCGATGTTTGCTCAGTTAAAATGTTTGCCCGCTCGAGACTCGCACTGACCCATAAAACTGCACCTCCGAGTTTAAAGTGTCGATCTCTGACGCGGAATGGGGGGCGTCTGCCTCGAGTGCCGGTGTCAATATGGTTTAACTAAAGCCTCTTCCGAACTCCAAGTAGACAGCGCGGTGAACTATTTCCAATCGTACTCTGATTGATTGTTTTTTTTTTTCTTCAATTACTTTCAGCATATGAGCTTAATGAGAATATTCTATAAAAAAACTAGTCGGGAGATAAAAATTATGTTTACCAAAATTTACTGGTGTCCTCTATGCACATTATTTTTTATACGAGTCATGACTGTTACACAAAAAAAAAGTGTGAAAGTGCATATATTGCTAAGAGAATAAATTCTACCTTTAGTTGTTTTAACGACTGTTTTTAGAAATTTAACTGTTTTAAAGAATCTTCTTACTAGCTTCAACTATCCCATGAAGTACTATTCCATATAAAACCTTGTGTATAGGGGAGACCATTGCACTACTGAGTGAAGTATAACAGGTTCTGCTTATTGAATATATATTGTTACCTTAATTTACATCAACATATACAAAACTTATATCTCTTCCTAAAATATAGTATATCACATAGAAAATTTCGAGTGACTCAATCACAACATCTGTCATGTAATGCAAATAATAATTTTTGTATTTTAATAAAGGCAACTTAAATTCGTTTAGCCTAATATAGTGCTCAAGTTTATGTCACTATATCATAGCTTAGGAAAAGGAAAGTTAAGGTTTAGGTGTTTCTGTATACATGTTCCAACTGAACTTGTGAACGGGCAGATTTCAACTTCCATGTGTGCCAGAAACATGCCAGAAAGCAAGAGTAAATAGTGAAAAGTTTTTAATAACGTAGTCATAAATTAACATTTGCGTGGGTCGTGTTTGCAGGACGATCAAGCTGAACTGGCTACGAGCCAGCGTGTCAGTAGACGGAGACTAAGAGGTAAAGGAAATTAAAAGCCTCAGAAATATTACAAATATATATACCACGGTATAGCAGCGTGAATTTTCCACTCTTCAAACTAATGCCCGGTTCCTATATTCAACGAACGGCCAATAGTTATAAAGCTTCGTAACTTTCATAACGACTTTTAGGTTAAAGGAACGCTAGTTACTCACTTTCCATAGGTAATGCAACCGCTCGTAAGGACTTTTATCTACAAGTCTTTATGAAAGTTACGAAGCTATGTAACTAACGGCCGTTCTTTGAATATAGGAACCGGGTATAAGACAAATTTAAAAGAACTGGTTTCCTCACGTTTTCCCACACAAGCGGGTTCGTAGCTAAACGAAATATTAAATTACCCGTCGAATCCTCTGAACACTTAAGCAACGGACCCCGTTGAGATGTTTAACGATGTCAAAATTGACCCATTTTTAGGGTTTCGTACTCAAAGAGTAAAACGGGACCATATTACCTAGACTCGACTGTCTGTCTGTCTCTGTCTGTCACAAGACTGTATCTCATGAACCGTGATAGTTATACATTTGAAATTTTTACAGACGATCTGTTTCTGTTGCCACTATAACAACAAATAATAATAGACAGAATAAAAAATATTCAAGTGGGCTCCCATACAACAGAGATGATTTTTTCGCCGTTTTCGTAGATCGCCGGTACAGGACCCTTCATGCGCGGGTCCGACTCGCACTTGGCCCCTTTTGTTCCTCTTCCTCGTCGAGCCGATGCCGCCTCCTTAGCGCTAATGCGTCGTGGAATTAATGCGGGGCACATTAGCGGCCACTCTCCGCGGGGAAGCTGCGATCATCGCTTTATTATACGCGGCAATTAGCGCTCGCCGCGGCTGCCGGTAGCAGGGACTAAGTGACGTGCCCGTTTGTCCCCCGGATGCTGTTTACTTCAAGATCAGAATCGCCTCATCAGACTGCCAGTCGGGAAAACGGATGTGAGTTAAAAAACATTATCAAAAGTCCAAAGTAAGAAAGTTTAAAGTGAAAAAAGCGGCCAAGTTCGAGTCGGATTTGCGCACCAAGGGGAGGCCTACGGTAGGGTTTATGGCGGCGACAGAAATACATATTCTGTGAAACTTTCAAATGTCTAAGTGTCACGGTTCATGAGATAAAGCCTAGTGACAGACGGGTAGACAGACAGCAGAGTCTTAGTAATAGGCTCCCTGCAAGCTCATCTGGAAAAGTATAATGGCCTTACAGAAGGCTGGTGGAATGGGCTTGTATCTCTAAATAAGTTAGTCAGTGTAATTGATCCAAAAATTAAAGACGTGAATATCAA